AGCTGCAGATAGTGCAGAACGAAATTTTGAGAATTATTACAGGGTCCCACTTTTATATCAGAAATGCTCTGCTTCAAAATGATCTCAAGCTAGAGCCAATGGACGTCTACTTGCATAGACAATGATAAATTTTTCAAAAAAGGACTCCTCACTGACGCAGGAAACTTTAGAGCCACACTGAATTACTGCACAGATCCGAAGGACATTAGCATTCGTCCATTTATTGCGCACAGATTGCGCAACCATAATTTCGTGACCTGAGCTATTTCATCTCTCATGCATAATTGGCATGCGTTCTTGAATTCATGAGCTTGCATTTGTTTATTTGTAGTATATATTGTCTGTAACATATTCCTGTACAGTCAAAAGTCGTTAATTCGGACAGCCATAATTCGGAATGATCTATAATTCGGACCTCAAAGCTACAAACTTTCTGCGCATGCATAGCAATCATGCATAGGTGTTACGTCTATAAATATAGAATTAAAGAGAAAGTATTAGCACATAAAACAAAGCAACTTAAACAACTTACATTGAAAGAAACGTTTAATAAAGTAAACAAATAAATATTAAGCTTTTTTGTTTGTAAATTTTGATACCCTTTAGATCATAATTGTTCTTTATTTCATAAATTACGGTTTCATATTTTTAATTTTATAATTTCTGCATGCCATCTTACCAGATTTAAATTGATGATCTATAATCTGGAAAAATCGATAATCCGGAATTGCCGAAGTCCCGACGAGTCAGGATTAACGACTTTTGACTGTTTATACGATACTGAGTTTTCTGACTGTTCCAGTAATTCACATTACACATTTTCATCTTGACTGCTTCCTTCACTAATTTACCTACTCCCATATGTCAGGTCTATTTGTGACTCCTTCAGGGTCTCCTTTCCCCTTCTCTTTCTCCTTCATTGCATCCTCCCATTGTGGGAGTTCATATGATTGCTTCCATGTGAAGTGCCCTCAGGTTGTTACATCAGCAGAGCTTTCGACAGCCAAGCTTTCTTGGCTAGTAAAGCATAAGCATTCAGCATTAAAGCATTAAGCAATGATAACCATGTTGCCACCCTGCATCTCACCAGATGCTCCAAATCAAAGGTATAATTGTGCCACTGAATGCAACTGCTGATTATTTTTTTTACTTCCTTGTATGAAGTAAAGGAAGTATTGTAATCATGAAAAATTTTGGGTATCATATTTCAATGAAAATATACATTTTGACCATTCTTTTGCATGACTTCTGTATTTACGGTCAGAATAAAGGACTCTCTTTTCAAAATGGATTTTAAGTTGGATTTAAAATAGACCTTTTTCAAGACATCTGTGCATACATATGTATGTATCTAGAATAATTAAAAATGATTAGCTATAGAATATAGCCGTCAATGTAGAATGTTGAAATTTTGTATATGGGGCTGCTACAACATCTAGTTGGGCATCTCTCTCTCTTTTTTTTTTTAATCCAGTTGGCAGTACCAAAAGTGTATATACATACGTAAAACCGGACCTCTATTTTCACAGTTTTGGTCGTAGACATACCTTCCAATTACAGAAGGGTTTTAAAATGATAAAAAAAGTCCTGTTTTGGAAATTACAAATTTAAAAAAAAAAGAAAAGGATTAATTTTAGACAACAAAATCTAACTTTTAATGTGGTGTCCCAATTCCTACACTTATATTTGGGAAAGTTTTATATTCGTCATGGAAAAATAAAAATATAAGAATTTTAACTCCTGTACAATAAAAATTGACTGGGATATTTAATTTCAACATCTGCAATTTTTGATATCATTTTCAACTTGCCTTGAGCGATTGGTTTATTAAGTTAGAAAAATTTGAGGAAATATGTTTAAATGAAGTGCAGCAAAAAATGTGAACAATTTAATAGGCTGTACAAGGAAGTCGTGTGATGGCCGTATCAGATTTTTTAAAAACATTTGATAAATATATTTGAGTACTTTTTAAACATTATTTATGATTAAATGGCTTTAGATGGAGTAGAAATTAGTTAAAACAAAAGAAAAGGTAGCAATAGATTAATCTTTATCTTCCACAATCATGAAGTTGCATATTGAAAATTTTGAACAGAAAGCAATTGATAACGCATTACTTAAATTTAAAATGCAGGTATGCCACACAAATGACTCGTTTTTGGTACAGTAATATGAGACAATAGACTGAATAAGTTTCTGGAGAGATTAGATAAATGTAAATTTTTATTTATAAACATTTAACAATATAAAAACACAATATAAGCATTTAAGATAAATCATTTGAAAATTTTAGGTAATAATCTTTTAGGCATGATTTACAAATTAATAAATAAAATTTATCAAAATAAGCAGTACCTTATCTGGTTTGTTTAAGTAAAATCTGCTTTCAATTTATATAATATTTTTAAAAATTCTAGGCGAAACAATTATAAACTTAACTGCATAGGTGAAAGTTTAGTTCAACAAAGCAAAATTTATATCAACTACTTGGGGGAGGGGAACACTTTTTATCCATAAAAGAAAGGAAATTATACGGCAAGTAAATTTTTGCCCTCAGATAATAACGTAAATTTCCGACAATATCTACCCCTGAAAAAATTAACCACTATTATTAGGTCATTCAATGGAAAACTGGAGAAGTTGCATTACAAGTTGCATAAATAACCATATTACAGATGTGTTAAATAAGCAGCCAAGCTAAATAATAGATGTCTGCAACACACTTGTGGCACATAAATAAAGGAAACATACAAACAAAACAGCAGATTCTTGCAACAGTATACTGAGCAAGAATAATGAAGTGCTGTATGGTTTAGTGAAGAAATGAATAGTACAGAGGTTTCTTTATAAAAATTCAATAGAGTAATAAATGTACAAGTTGTTTATGAATGCACTGCAAAAATAAAAACTGGCCTTATTAGCATGACGGATACTCTTCATATGAGTTTAATAATCCATGATAAGCTAAAGTTCTGAAAAGTGTATGCAAGATGATAATGCAATATTTGAAATGAAAGGGAAATATGCTATTCGCTTACTGCTTGCTAAAAGTTAATGGACTACAGTTTTGATATGATGAGGTCCAATTGGCTACACATGAATGAACGCTTACTCTTCGAAGGAATTTCTCCCAAAATATAAATGCATTTGTGAAGCATGTACATTGACTTAAATAAAGGGTACATTAAATACTGATAATGTTTAATTTTTGTAATAGGTGGTCAAAAATTCCATTTCTTGTTTGGACATAGTAATATTTTCTTAGTAAAATACTAGATCTCGAAATTATTCTTATTTTCATCATGCATGTAACATTTAGCAAGGCAATTAATAAAATAATGCTTTTTAGCAATTACTTAATTTATTCAAAAAATATATGCAGTTACTGATGTGAGTTTTATTCGATTCCAGGAAAAATAACTGAAATAATTTTGAATTTTTCTTTTTACGAGAAAGTATTTAAATGAGAGATTTGTAGCTCCATCACAAAGCGTGAAAAGGACCATGACTTGGATCAAATAAAATTGTTGCCAAACAATTAAATTTAGCTCCAATAATGGGTAAGTGTGACATCACAACTCAATTATAATATCTTCACATTACCTTTATATAAATCTGATTAAGTCTCGATGAGTCAATTTAATTTTTGCTTTGTTTGTTTTTCAAGTTATATAAGTCAACTGCTACTTAGCTGTTTCTAAACACAATTTGAAAAACTAATTACAATTTGGGACTCTTCTTCAACAAAACAGTATGCAGTAGAGTATTTTCAAAATTACAGAATCCTAACATCATGAAAAGTGAGATTTTATGTGAAAATGGACAAACACTGCCTGTGCCACATGAAAAACTATGACAAGAAATTTAAGTTTTTTATATGTTATGTCCATAACTTGTATATTTTGATTATCAAATTAAATTAAGAGCAATATGTTCCTTCAAACTCCTGCTGACACAAGTTTGGGTAAGATCTCTGGCAATTTTCATTGTCAATGAGATTTCATTACCACGTAAGATGTTTTACTCGATCGAATAAACACTTATGTCTGAAATATTCTTTTTTTTTTTTTTTTAAAAAAAAATCTCTTACAATTTAAATGTAGGCTTTTGATATTAAAGATGATAACATATAAGATGACTCCTTTTATAATTTTAGGTTGGAAATATTTTCTTCTTTTTCTACCGTGAACTGGAATTTTTATGCAAGTATTTATCTGGAACTTTTATGTATCCAGATTTCAACATTTCCCAATTTTTCTTGATAGTCAAACTTCTACTGTAACTACTTAATTTTTAAAATTTTGTGTAATATCTCTTTATTAAAAATTATTGTAGCTCTCATCATTTCTATGAACATGCGTAATACAGTTGAAGCTTTAATGATTATTTAAGTTATATAGAATAAAAAATATTTGTGAGAAATATGATTTCTCATTATTTAAGAAATTATATCAATTTGAAAGTTATCCTAGATCTAAATAGCTAACAAAATTTGTGCAATGCCAAAAAGGAGTCCCACTTTATTATCTAATTACATATTTTGAAGGTAGCTAACACGTACACCCCAAAATTTGAAATTGAAAAAAAAAAAAAAAAAAAAAAAAAAAAAAAAAAAAATATTTTATACCATTAACTCTTTATTAAATTAAAGATTATTATTTTTATACCATTAACTGAAATTAAGAGAAGCAGTACTTTGACGATACACACATAATTTATTCGCAATATTTTATGTTATATGATAATTAGCATCACCTTTTCAAATTTAAAGAAGCAAAAGAAAACTTAATCAATCCAAAATTATAAAGCATATTAAAAGAAGAGAAATCCACATATATTGGTTTTCAAAATTTACACAGTATATATTTAACATCAAATCAAGGTACAATTTTGTATAATTTTAAAGATTAGTTATCGTGAATTTTTCACACTTATTGGACTAAAGTTACTAAAATATATATATATATATACATAACTTGATAATAACAATTATGGCTTACCAGCAAAGCTAAGAATGTCACCACCTGCAGATATTAACACTAAAACAAAAGTAACAATGAAATAGTTATGTACTTTTTTAATTTATTAATATGCAATTTAATATAAATATAGTCAAAATAAATAATAAATAAATAAAAAATGAAATAATAGCAACCTGACGAGTAAGGGATTAATGAAAGTAAAGAATAATAGGCAACTGCAAACAATAACAACTCTAATAGTTAGTTAAACTAAATAATGCAAGGAAGAAGGGGGCAAAAAAGAAGGAAAAAATGCAATCTGAAAATTTCAGATTACGATCTAACACTGTCCAGAATTTACCACTGAAGTTTCAAAATTACATAAATTACAAAAGTTATGACAATTCTGCTGGTTTAAGAATTAATCCCACAGTGGAATCCCACAGCAATGCATTGATGAAAAGGCTTTCTTGACATGGAAGTAAAAGCACAAAACACAAGAAAGAAAGAACAGGAACAGGCCGAGGTTGTTTATAATGCTTAGTACAGGAGAAATCAAGAAATAATAACAAGAATAGACAATGATCATCATCAAAGAAGGTGTCTGAATTTACAACCTCGGACCCTGATACAGGCATCACATCTCCGGCACATGGAAGATCTGATGTCCTGGAAAATACAGGGCATCTCCCGGATTTACCCAGCAACTGCCACAATGCATGCAATAAGTTTCTCAATACTTCTAATGAGGGTTTCAAACACCAATGTCTTGATGTACTCATGAAGGAAGTAGTTGATGCAAGTGAAGTCTTGCTGGCTAATGCACCAGACTACCCCTGCCAACCCCACACTGATGATACATTTAGAATGTAATTTTCAAACACCTTCTTTGATGATGATCTGTTTTTATTCTTATTTTTTGATTTCCGATGCACTAAGCATAATAAACGTATATTCTGACACTGTTTGTGTCCTTCCTTTCTTGGATTTTGTGTTGTCACTGCCGTGCCAGGAAAGCATTTCTGACCATACATTGCTATGTGGTTTTCCATCGTCTAGGTGTACTCTATCTCTCCTGAAAGTTTGTAATCAATTTGCTGAAACACCCTGTATATGTATATATACAATCTAAACGACTAACCTGCCAATTTAATGCCATGCTACCTAACAATTTGCTACTGCCAATGCCATGCCATTACACTGCCTAAACACAATTTCTTTGAAAAATGTTCATTTATTTCTATCTTATAATTTGCAACACCTGTAATCTAAAATATGTAGGAGAAACCAAGAACTAAGGGGAATTTCTTGCATATGGTTTGAAGACAAAATAGTTTATAATCAAACTGAAATATTTATTAGAATTTTTTAATTGCATTTTTGAATAAAATGTCATTCAAATATACAAAAGATATGAAATATTTAAAGATTTCCTAACTGTTGGTAATTTTATAGAAAAGGACTTTTTCCCCTTAAAAAACAGACTTTTTCCATGGAATCAACTATAATTTATTTTATTTTAATTTGTTCTTACATATTTTATTTTTATAATTCAAATACATTTACTCTATGTATTCTTTCCATAGATTAAACTGATTTTCCTATGGAATTAGCTTTCTATATGTCTCAAATTACAATAATTTTTGCTGTTCATTTCCATGGGGATAATTGATATTAATAATTACAATATAATATATATATACAGTACAAAGTCTTTAATCCAGACTCATGGGGACTTCGGCGATTCCGGATTATAGATCATCAATTTAAATCTGGTAAGATGGCATGCAGAAATTATAAAATTAAAAATATGAAACCGTAATTTATGAAGTAAAGAGCAATTATGATCTGAAGGGTATCAAAATCTACAAAAAAAAAAAAAAAAAAAAAAAAAAAAAAAAAAAAGCTTAATATTTATTTGTTTACTTTATTAAACATTTCTTTCAACGTGGGCATGCGTAAATCATACATTATGCATAGTCAAAATTTGAAAATTGCAACCAGAAAACTATTTGATGTGTATTCGTGATATTTGTAATGACGAGGAATTTAATTTAAATCATATCAAAGACGGAGTACACTGAGATGAAATACTACATGTAGTAAAGAATTATAAGCCAAATAAAATAAAAACATCTGCCCTGAAGATGAGGATAGTGCTGACAGATCAACTTCCAGTTCATTGCGCACCGCGACGTCCCCCCCCCCCCCACAGAGCAGCGTGAAATTGATAAACAGATTTCAGAATGGTTCGAGAAACAAAGGATATGCCTTTGATCATTTTTTGAAGCAATTCCACTTTTTATTTGATGGACATCGAAACATGCTTTCGCTTTGCAGATCCTTTAGCAGCTCCAGAATTGGAAACTCTTTTTGACATAATCGAAAGTTCAAGCTTACTTTTTATAAAATTGCTCTCTGTCTGCAAAAAACAATACGCCGGATCCAATTAGAAGATTAAGGAACAACGCAGTCTGCAACATTAACTGAAATAGATAATTAGATAATTTTAGCTTAGCTTATACTGTCCGTTATACATTAAAACGCGAATGTGTAAACGCATTATGTGAACACGTAAACGCATATGCGCATACATAAACACATTAATGCACTTACGCATGCGCAGAAAGTTTGTAGCTTTGAGGTCCGGATTAAAGACTTTGTACTGTATATAAAATATACGTTCGGTACTGCCACTTGCAATAAAAAGGGAGGTGCACAACTAAATGTTATAGCAGTCCCATATAAAAAATTTCAATTTTCTGCGACTAACTATTTTTGAGTTACATGAGATACATATGTATGTACAGACGTCACAGAAAAATCTATTTTACAGTCAGTTTTCAACTAACCCTTAGAAGAATTCCATACATACAAACATCATGCAAAAAACAGTCAACATGGATTCAAGATAGGTCAAAATGGATATTTCCGTTGGAATCTGATGCCTGATATTTTTCACAATTGCAATACTTCCTTTACTTTGTACAAGCAAGTAAAAAATGCACTGGCATTTTAAATATTACTATAAACCATTTAATATCCATATAAATTTTAATTATAAATAAAATGATTTTAATCTGAATTGTTACATTATTTACATACTGCAGCAATACACTGAAGAATAACAAAATAGTTTTCCTAAAATAACTTAGGTGCTATACAATTTTTAATTACCATAGGAACTTACTTGAAGTTAATGTACTCATGTAACCATTTAAAATGCTAGCTAGTGCTTCTACGCCTGATATTCCCTTTTGGCAATAACTTTCAGCTAATCTTGTAAAACCTGAAATACAAAATTTTGTGGATGAAAATTGTATAAAAACTGAAGGTTTAAAATATTATCATTTCTTTATAAAAAGGGACAAAAATCAGCTGCATACAATCTTTTACTTATTGCTGATAATCCAAGTTTATTTCCATTTTCAACACATTTCACAACTGCAGGAGTAATTTTCCTCTTTTTTTTCAAAATTTAACACATTAAAACTTTTTTGCGTTATTTTATTTACAGTTGCAGATTTTGAATTATCAACCTCTTTTTACAGATTTTAAATTTCCAACCTCTTTTTTTTTTTTTTTTTTTCTTTAATATTAAAACAAAATTCCTTTTGTTCATGCATAAATGGACAATTTTTGTGTCCATGTGAATGGAAATTCCATTCAAATGGATTCACTATTAGATGTTAGCAATGTTATTACAAGTTCAGGAAGTCATGCTCATGATGATATGTTATTAGAAATTCTAAAGCCTATTGTCATATTGAAAATTAAACTAAAGCAGTTTTAAACGCAATTAATTTTTTACCTTTTAAATATTTTATGTTTTTAAATAAACACATTTTTTAATAAATGAAATATTATTTTTAAATATTTGTACAATATTAGTACAGTTTTATTATTAAGATTATTGTTGCAGACATTCATTTTAATCAAAATAAAATTTACAATATATATTTTTTTAAATTTATAATATAAAAAATATATTTTTTTAGCAAAACATTATCTTCAAGCAACAATAACTAATTTGAACACTCAAACCTCTTGATAACAAAGAAAAAATTACACATTGATTAGTTTCATACACATATTAGAGAACTCTATAGAAAAGAAGAAAATTTTGAATCCCAAAATAAATTCAATATACATGATAAAATAATTGTTCCATATTCAAGCCCCAAAATTGCTTCTCAATTAATTACGTTATCAGGTTCTTGTGTATTAGCCAGCATTCACAATACATCAGAACCCGAATTCCGATTCCTGCAAACATTCACCAATCCTCAAAACTGCTACAGATTTTTCTTTTTCTTTCTTGCTATGTTATTTTTTTATACCTTCTTTGGCCAAGAGGAAGGGCTTTATTTTTTATTCCAACTTCAAACTTTCAACCCAGAATAAATGTATTACCTGAATTACATCTTTTTTTTGGGGGGGGAATCCTTCTCTTATGGAAAGTTTTGGGGACAATGTTTGTCTTTCTCATATTAATTCTTACTGCACTTTGTGCATAATGCATTTTCTAGATTTGCTGAAAAGTGAAATAAAGGGAAATCCATTATTTCCATACTTCTGGTATTTTGCCCAAAAGTCATGAAGATCCCAATTCTCATACAACAAAACTGTTCATTACTGCTTTTATGATTTGCAACATGGAATTTATTTTTATTAACTTTTACAATACTATATGCACATTTGAGTTTTTAATGATGTTAAATACAATTTTTTTTTAATGTTAAGACTTTCATGACAAAAGTAACTGCATTAAACTAAATGAATCATTTTTCATGTAATATTATTTGACATCATAGCACACAATCAAATAAAATGTTACATTAGAATGGATTATTTCCACTCGGTAAAAGCATATGATTTTTTCATAAACGAAATTATTCTAAATTCTGACTAACAACATCTTAAGAGATAAAAACCAAGGTCCTTAAGCACCTTGCTTCCAACCAGCAAGCTCTCCAAAACATTTTCATATTGACTAATTTAAAGTGCTCTCATTTTACAGAGGCAAAATAATTTCAAATATTGTTCCTTCTCATTCAGAATTGGGCTTAATTGTATATGCAGTCAGCCTCAGCTAATCACTGTATAGCCTAAAGCAGTGGTTCTCAACCATTTTTTCTCCATGCATCCCTTTCATCATTGCTACATAATCATTCGTCTCCCCCTTTCCAAAACTTTAAAAATACATGTCCATTTATTTAAATTTAGATTATTTTTAATTGCTTTATAAATTAAACATGGAAAAGTATAGAAGATGTTGATAAGTACCAAAGAATTAAAGTATTTTTTTTATATTCATAAACTAAACCTAAATACTAAACAGGTAAATAAAAAACTGATCGCATTTCCCCCTGAAACTATGAAATTCTCTCCTGGTTGAGAATCCCTGGTCTAGGGTGATGTGGTTAAATGAAATTCTTAATTCAAGTTTTAGTTATTCCTTTTCCTTTTTGAAATGTTTTTGTTATCTTAACAGCATAGCCAATGCCAATGATTTCTAATTATGGAGTACCTATGGTTTAAGACCATTTACCTCCTCATCAGAATTAAAGAGAGCAGAAATAAGAAAATTGCATAAATTAGTTTACTTGATGTAAGCTAGCGGGAGCCACATAGGCTCGAGAAAAGCTAGGGATAGAGATAAATATAAACAATTAATCAAATGAAATTTTAGTTTTTATTATCATTTTACAAAATTTTAAACTTTTTAGTAGTTTTATATTTTAAGATTTTTTTTTTCAATTTTTTATTTTTCATAGTTTTTTATACACAATACAAACACTAAAGCAAAAAGCGGATAGGAAAGATTTTACGGTTAATAGGCTCATTGGCATATGGCTCGATGTAATAGGGCAAATATAGCCAGGTAATGACGAGAAAATATTCAGGGCAGAAGTAAATTCTGCGGGAAGATGTGATTTTTTAAATAATAGATTAATAATTACGTAAAAGGCCACTTTTCAGGTTGGTGTTAGGAAATTATAGCAAAAATGGATAAGCTATTGGCATATTATGGCAGCGTAACAAGAGACATCCTTCCTTCACAGAGGGTGGGCTGGAACTGAAGTTGGAGGAGCGTGGTTTCGCCTTTTACCTGGTGGAAAGATGTTGTATCCCGGTCAATAATAAAGCGAGGATGCTTCTGTGAGCCACGAATTGGAGGATCGTAGGCAAGCAGTTGTTGAAGTACACAATTATCAATCTGTTCAATTTTGAGAAATGAATTTTGACTAAGTTTTTTAAGTTTAACATCAATGGATTTAATATTGAGATCCGAGTGAATCATATCTGAACAGACGTACCAGGGTGCATTTAGAATCATATGTAAGATATTACTTTGAAAAGTTTGAAGTTTTTTTCACATGAGTCTTAGCCGCAGTGCCCCAAATAGTGCATGCGTATAACATAATAAGTCTTAAAATAGATGTGTAGAGAAGAGCTTTTTTTTTTTTTATTGACAGTTGGCTGTTATGAGCTAAAAGTGGATAAAGTTGGGATCTAACTCCCATTGCGTTTTTGATCATATTATCAATTTGAAGGTGCCAGATTAATATGCAATCAAGTATAACACCAAGATACTTGTAAGAATTAGTCCAGAAAACATAATCGTTAAAAAACTTTAAGTTAATGGTAGGGTATGGGAGGGGAGCTTGTTTAAAAATCATAGAAGCACATTTAGCGACATTAATTTTTATTTTCCAAGTAATGAGCTAGTGCTCACTGGTGCTAGGTGTGGCACTGGGTGATTTTGGTATGTCATTAATAAATAAATTGAACAAAGTTGGTCCTTGGGCTACACTACTAAGGATTGGACAGGGAGTTGAAATGATAGAATTAATTCATACAGAGAAAGATCTATTAGTGAGATACGAGTTAATTATGTGAATGAAATGAGGCAAAAGATCAAGTCGCATGAGCTTGATAATAATATCAATATGCCAAATCCTATCAAATGCTTTGGCGATGTCCAGAAAAAGTGCACTTGAAAGCATTTTGCTATGAAATCATTCATGAATGAACTCCACTGTCCTCAGCAATTGGTGCGTAGTGCAGTGTTTGCTCGGAATCTAAATTGTTCGTCAATAAGGACTTTGTATTTAAATAATATTTTCCATTTTCCATAAAACTGAACAAAAAGTGGTATGAATACTAAACAACAAAGGCATATCAAATGAAGATAAATTATTTATTATTAATGTAAATATGGATTTATATTCAAACATTTATCAATGAATGCAACAGCAAAGTGAAATTTTTATTCCTTTTTGCCACCTGACTAAAAAATGACCAAATTTTTTAAATAAACAAACACAGGGAAAAAAAAAAAAAAAAAAAATCCTCTCATTAAACTTAAAATAATAACCATTTTAATTTTCATCCACTTATTTTTAATCATTTAAAATAGTTACTATATTCTTTAAATAAATTTGAAGATTAAAAACATACTCTTTTGATACCAATATATACACCTTAAAATTTTTTTAAATATTGGTGTACAGAACATGCTTAATTACAACATAAAAACTAAACCTGTAACTTACCACATACATCAGCAAGTAATAATACAACATTTGATTCAATCTGATATGGAAGACTACGAAATGAATCATTTAAAATTTCTTCAAGAATAATATCAGGCACAAATGTCAGAGGAAGATATTTTGCTTCTATCGTGGCTGACTGTATGGCAGCAGTTTGTTCATCAGTTACTCTAGTCATTTGGTCTAAGTTTTCAACAGCTTCTTGAACACTTTTTCTTCTGTCCTTTGATTCTTTCAAATACATACATTTTTTTTAATTGTGATTACAAAAAATACTATTTCAAGTAATTATCTTATTAATGATACTTTTAAATCAAATTTTATTTTATAAATTTGAACTTCACAAACTCCTTAAAATCCTCTTCATATTATGAGTAATTTCCCCACATTATGTACAACTTGGTGTTACAAAAAAAGTGTATTATGCAATGTTATAAAAATTTAATTAATAAAAGAATAATTAATAATGTAATTGTCATCATATAATGCTATAAAAAAGTACATTCTTCACTCTATAGCAGGATATGTATGAAAAACATTAAATATTTTCAATCAGAATTGAAACTTTTGGGACAGAGACTGAAAAAATATATTAAAAGAATCAATTAACTGATTCATAACACCAATTTTACTACCTAATTTTACCTACCTGTGTACACTAAAACTCTCTTATTACAGTGTTTGTTTTTTTTTCTCTTTTAATTAGCGGAAGAATCAATTTAGTGAATGTCATAAGTAGTCGTACATCTAACAGTATGTTACAGCTGATAAACTCTCCTCAGAACTCTAACAAAATAAGACATACAAACAGTCACAAATGTCTACATACGGCCATCAAAACACCCTCATTTGCATTTGTACTAATTTTTTAAAAAGTACAGTCAAAAGTCGTTAATCCGGACTCGTCGGGACTTCGGCGATTCCGGATTATCGATTTTTCCGGATTATAGATCATCAGTTTAAATCTGGTAAGATGGCATGCAGAAATTACAAAATTAAAAATATGAAACCGTAATTTATGAAATAAAGAACAATTATGATCTAAAGGGTATCAAAATTTACAAAAAGAAAAAGCTTAATATTTATTTGTTTACTTTATTAAACATTTCCTTCAATGTAAGTTGCTTCGTTTCATGTGATAATACTTTCTCTTTAATTCTATTAAACAGACATAATTTCTTGTTTAGTTACAAAGTTCCGCTGTTCAAGTCCTATAATTGCTGTGTTGACCGACTAATTTGTCAATCGAAATGTTTTCGTTTTCAATAACCTCTGGGTCACTTTCTTCACTATCGGAAGCGAATTATAATGACGAGGAACTTGATTTAAATCATATCAAAGACGGAGTATATCGAGATGAAATACTACACTTAGTACGGAATTATAAACCAAATAAAATAAAAACATCTGCTCTGAAGATAAGGATAGTGTTGACAGATCAACTTCCAATCCGCAGCGTGAAATTGATAAACAGATTTCGGATTTCAAAACATACTTTCGCTTTGTAGATACAAATTACATATTAGTAAATATATATCGGAAATTCTATTTGACATAATCTTTCTAATCTATCATAATCTAATAAAGACGTTTCTGCCCCCCCCTCTGCCGCAGAGCAGCGTGAAATTGATAAACAGATTTCGGATTTCAAAACATACTTTCGCTTTGTAGTAAATATATATCGGAAATTCTATTTGACATACTCGAAAGTTCAAGCTTACTTTTATAAAATTGCTCTAACAGTCTGCAAAAAATAATAAGCCGGATCCAATTCGAAGATTAAAGAACAACGCAATCTGCAACATTAACTGAATTAGATAACTTTAGCTTAGCGTGTAACTCCGTTACACATTAAACGCGCATGCGCACAAACATATTCGCAGCTGTAACGGTCTTATGCGCTCTCGTAAACGCCTGTGCGCATGCGTGAACGCGACGAATGCGCAGAAAGTTTGTAGCTTTGAGGTCCGGATTATAGATCATTCCGGATTATGGGTGTCCGAATTAACGACTTTTGACTGTAATACATGCATCATAATTTATGTCTAATCAAGACATAAATTTATGTCTAATCAAGAAAATAAACTCTAATTATTTGAGTTTTAACAAAATATAACAAAAGTCGATATTTTGTGAGTTGAAAGTTTAAATACAGAGAGAGAAACACTTTATTTACTCTAATCAAATGAATAAAAAATTAAGTTAATTCTTGTGTGTCCAGCTTTTGCATCTATCACTGCCAGTACTCTGTCTGGCTTAAAAAAAAAACCACATTTGTTATATCTCATGTAATTTCAGACCATGCTCCTTCAATTCCTGCCTTCAGAATTTCTTTGCCTGTAATAGTATACTACTAACAAATTTTCTGATGAAGTTTATCTCATAATATACCATAGGGTTTAAATCCGTCAATTACAGACAGTCATGAGTGCAGTTGACTGGATACTTTATAGATCAACCACTCTCTAACAATCTTAGCAGTATGTTCGAGTCATTATCTTGTTGAAAGAACCAGCTGCTTCATATCCTAATTTTTCAAAAGGTGATTGCAGATTACTTTACACTAGTTTCAGATACATGAAATGATTTGCAATACAATCATTGAAAATTAATTTACCTACTCTCAAGCCCTGCCATTGATCTTTAAGCCATTACACTCCCTCCACCATGTTTAACAGTTGGTATAGAATTTTCAAATTTCATTTTCCTGCCACCCAATCTTTCCATGACCATAGCTTTTGAAAATACTGAATTTACTTTCATTAGTAAATAGCACTGTTTTTCAAAAATAATTTATTTAGGCATTTATTTGCAAAATTTAGTCATTCTTATTGATTTTGAGATGAGATCCGAGGTTTTCTTCCAGAAGCTCTGCCATTAAATCCCTTTAACTATGCACAGTTTCTGGATTGACTTTTTTTCCTAGTTACTGTTGCAAGGTGTTCAGTCAATTCTGGAGCACTTAATTTTGTATTTTTTTTACAAGAGTTCTTGCATCACAATTTTCTTTGGACGAACACTTTGAAATTTGTTGAGCACAATCCAACTTGACTTGTCATTTTTAATTATAATCAGTACATTTGTATGACTTTTTCTAATAATTTTACCTACTTCCCCACTGGAATTTTTCATGCCTTAATTTTACAATAAAATTTCTCAGATCTGGAGAAATTCCTTTCTTTGGATTCATTTTTTCAATCTACAGTCATCTTTAGAAAAGAGAATCAATAATATGAATTTCATGCATGGTTGAGATTTTCTCATAAATCCAAAAGGGAAGAAAACAGCCACATATGCAGATTTTGTTAAGAGCCAATCAACTGAAGGCTGACCTTTGTGATGTGCTGGTTTCAACACATCTGCATATAACTTTCATATTTACCTTATTTAAGCTGTTATTTTCTTTGGGAAATATTTTTTATATGAGTAACATAGTTACTATAATTTAACAGTTTAAAATTAGTGTTTGATAAACTTCTACTTTAGGTGTATGCAAACTTCTGTGACTGTGTGTAGACAGATAGAACAAATACCATTATACTAATTCAGAAGTCAAACAACAAAAATCAGTGTTAATTTACAAAATTTTCACAGTGAAAACTGTGAAAATCAAACTGTAAAAATTTTGTAAATTAACGCTGATTTTTGTTGTTTGACTTCTGAATTAGTATTTATTTGGCGTGTTATTGTGTCTTAAATACCATTATATCAGGTGGGAAAAAAAGCATTTTTTTTTTTTTTTGTGTGTGTGTGTGTGTGTGAAATAAAACTAATTTTTTTCCTACATAAAAAATTAACTTTAATCAGTCAAATATCTTCCATTCTGTTTGATGACCTTTTGTCCTCTTTATGGTAACTTCATGATTTCCTAGTCATAAAACTTCTAGTGTTTATCAGCAAAAACTAAACCAAGTGCGATTTTAGGCCATCATTATTACTGAAATCTTTACCATTTAAGAAGTTTTGTAAACTTTAAACTAAATGTCAATCCAATTGTGCAAGGTCGGGGCCATATGGGAGATGCAACATCACTTCCCAAACCAAGCTCCAATAATTTCATATGTGTTGCTAAACATGAGTAAGGCCTTATATTGTCGTGGTGGAACATGATTACTTTGAAAGTTGCCAATTGTGGCCTTCTGGCTTTGATTGTTTCCTTCAGTTTCATCAGTTTTTGGCAGTAAACATTTGAGTTGATAGTTTGGTTTCTTGGAAGCAGCTCAAAATTTTCACCTTTGTAATCCCACCAAACTGGGAGCATGATCTTTTCCTGATGCAATTCAACTTTTGATATGACTTGTGCTGATTCATCATGCTTGGGCCATGATCTTTTTTCAATTGACAGTGTTGACTGCATTACGTTTAAAATGCATATTACAAATATCGATTCATTGTGTTAAGTGAATTTCTTTCAATTTATGTGGAACCCAAACATCGAGCTTCTTAATGAGTCAAAGACATCTTATGTGACTTTCAGTTGCTGTGTGTGATACATTTAACCTTGCACAGTTATATGACAATTCGATTCAATTATGGCTTTAATTTTGTCATCATCAACTTCAAAAGGCTGTCCAGAACGTTAGCCATCTTTAAATAAAAAATATAAAGAATGAAATTTTTTTTAAACCAACAAGCAATTAACATCATAAACTTTACATATTCTTTGTGAGCCTCACCCACTTTCTTACATTTATGAAAATTAAAAAAAAAAAATAATAAAATATGTTGAAAATATTTATTTTCGCACCCGTTATTAAAATTAATTATACACTAACAGTTGAAAAAAAAAAATACACAGGATTTGTTTTGATAGCAATCTAAAAGTGTCAGCTGTCAAATCTAAAAAAAAAAAAAAAAAAAAAAAAATTGTACAAGCCAAAATTACTTTCTTGCCAACTTGCCAACCCACTAATTGCTAGTAATAAGCTGGACCAGTTCCAATTCACAAGTAATAATTAAAGAAAGATGTACAGTAAGACCCCGCTTAATGCTGTTTCGTTTAGCGCTGTTTCAGTTTAGCGCTCTTTTATTTCAACCCGGGGATTCCACGAAATCGCTCGCAGCATACGGGGATTCCCCGAAATATTATGCAGCGATATGTTTCAAATACATATCCGAAAGAGTGTACTTGTATTTCTTGTTTGGTGCGGTATTGTACAGACATATTTTGAAGGGGTAAATGTGGAAGATGTCGAAGAAATAATTCAAGAAGCAGCAGCTAGGCTTTCTAA